ATATCTGATTTCAGTGCCACATATGAAAGACAACTGAATTGGAGCTGAAATGGTCAGATTCAGTGTGTTGTCTGCTGTTTAAACTGACGCACAAAGACAGATCTGTGACACACAAAGAAAAAGATCAGATATGGGCTGCTTTTCTGTGTCACCTAACACCACAGTGACCTCACTGTAGCACACAGCCTGGAGGGTTCAGGGCTTTACTGCACACTGAGATCATTTCAGCATATATATATATATATATATATATATATATAATATATATATAATATATATATATATATATCACATTGATAGTTTTTCTTTACTGTCAGCTACAAATTTGTAATGATCCCCAACCCTGATGTTCAGATTATAACTGGGTAAACGTGTAGTCTACTAAGAGACTGAAGCAAGAGTGCTGTTTACTGTCACCCTGAATTTTTAAAAAGACGTTACATGTTTATCAGAATTATTAACATTTGAAGTGTTTTATTTATTTATTTATTTATTTATTTATTCATCCATCCATCCATCTTACTGAGTGTGCCACTGTTCCTCCATGCCTCTGGGCACATGGGTCACACATGAGTTTAGTTTCCTTTTGCAGCACCACGTTTTTAATAGCACCATGATAGTTTTAGTGATCCAGAGTGAGATCATCTCTCCTCTACTGAAACATTTAAATCCCAACTCAAACCCAGCTCTTCACTCTGTGCTGTTCCACTTATTTCAGTGTCTGAACTCTGATTCTAGTGTGTACCCCCCCCCCCATGTTACTGTATGGATACCCAGTTTTCCGTTGCTTTTGTTTGATCTGTTGCTACTTCTGTTTAGTTACGAGATGCTATATTAAAGCATTAAGTCACGAGAGGCCGTGCGTCACTGTGATTGTATCACGGGGAAGGGTGTTCTTAGGCATGACGTGAAGCGGAGTCCCTAAAACTCCCTTCTCTGTGATAAAATCACAGTAACACACGAAACGGCAGCCAACATAAAATATGATAAAATAAATTTTTTTAGAAAATAATTAAGGTTATTGTTGTTAAAAATCAACATAAACACGTATTTTGCCAGAAAAGTAATTCCTTTAGAGTTTGCTATTGTTGCCAAGCAACCATGGACCACTGAATGAGGAGAATGTTTGGTCACCCATCGCTGTATATTGTGGTCATTTCATTTTTTTTTTTTTACATTTTATCGTATAACAGTGAACATATGATAACACGGCACTGCTTAATGCAAAAAAACTCTCACTTTATAAGAACTTTTTGGTCACCAAATTACCACCACGAGTCTTATTTAGCGCCAATCCAGCCGTGCCACTCTTCTCAAATGGCTCTTGCTCCCTACATAGTGCACTACGTAGGGATTTAAATACTGGATGCTGCAGCCCAACAGTGAATAATATAGCTAAGAAATAGTCATTTGGGATTCAGACTCATCCACACTCAATAAATGATCCACTATTTGGCTGTAGAGGCTAGAATTTCTACACTTCCATAGTTAGCACACTATTTAGGGAGTACGGAGCCGTTTGGGATTCAGCCTGGGTTTGACGTGACTTCTGACTGAAACACTCAAGCGATAATTTTCAAGCCTGTGATATTAATGACGGAGTTGTTTAGGCTGTTTGCTCTTTTAGCCTGTTAGCTGGCTGACCAGCCTAGTTCTAGCTGAGAAAATAAGTCACCAGCCCCTCAGTTTAAACAAAAAACGGGTTTATACTTCATCAGTGCACTCGGTGGTCCATGTGAGCAGCATGAGAGTCAAAGATTGTTCCATTAACAGCACAAGGGTTTTTTTGTGCTGCTGCGCAGTGATAGAGTTCAGTTGTTGTGAGGCGATCATAGGTGCGCGTATATTGTGGATTTTCCAACGGCTTAGAAAGCGGCTCAGCCAATCAGATTTTAGGACTGTAATAATAATAATAATAGGGGGAAATAAAAGTATCTTTGGGAAACTCCAGCAGCCTATTAAAACCATGAATTAAGCTTTATCTGGTAAATGGAGCCCTTGGTCTGGATAAATGATGACCTGCAGCTTCCCACAAATTCCTGATTTTACATGGTGAAGGAAAGAAGAAGAATATGGCTGCCAGATTGTCTTTCCCACGATAAAATATCCAGAAACCAACTGGCAAAGTCACAGTGGCCAGTTACATTGACCAGATTGCTTTGGCCAAGTTAGGAGTTCCCTGGGCTGAGTTACGTGATGCGCTGGTCTAGTTACGAGTTGCACAGTGGAAAGCTCTGCCAGGTCTGTGTGTGAAGACTTGGAGGGCAGACGTTCGTTTGGATGTAGTTTAGAAATGCAGAATTTAAATCATGTGGAACTCCTTGGTTACCTGCTACTGTAGCTAGCCTGTTAGTGAGACTGAGCGAACTAACTTTCTAGTTTGTGTGGACGACTGACTCACTTTAAGAAGTTTATAATAGCAGTAAAAGCCTAAGTTAGTGTTTTAGTCTCATTTTAAGCATCTGTGTAACAGCAAGCAGCCTATCTGATTGTTTACTGCCCCAGATATGGTCAGTACTGTTCCTTCATTTTCGTAACAGAAATGACCAAGAGATCCGGATTGTGGTGAGAAGAACTGAAAGTGGATGCGTAGTGTTACGCTGACCAAGTCGTCTTGGCTGAGTTACCTTGACTGAGCAGTGGTGGACAGTACTGAAGTAAATGTAATTCGTTACTGTTATTAAGTAGTTTTTTTGTGTATCTAGGGCTGGGCGATAAAACGATAACGATAATTATCGCGATATAACTTTTCCTCGATAGAGCGATACGACATGTTCGATAAATGTTCGATATAATACACCATTCTTACACCTCCACGTTCAGCGAAAGCCCTGGTGGCGTTTTTTGTACTGCAAGGAAAGCGACACTACTCTGCTGTCGCCAGGAGAGGGCGCACTTCCGAGTTTTTCTACATGATTAGAGAGGGAGGGGGCCACGAGTAAGATGAGTCTTTAGCAACGGCTGAAACGCGGAGTTATACATTCACTGTTTGAGTGGAGCGACAGGCGATCTGTTCTCGTGTGACCGAGTGTGAGTGACGAGGTCAGTGGTGTAACTATACTGTCCTACAGCGAACTCACCTCTTTCCGTACATCCTAACCAGCTTTAGCAGCGTTAAATCACAATCCTCACAACTACAGCGCTGTTACAGCTCTCGGACAGTCATGCTTTAGTGTGAGTGCATTCCCAAGCACCGAAAGTGAAAGAAAGAAGTGAGTTCATGTAAATTACAGCCCTGATTTAAACGAAAGTAAACTGAGGAAGCTGTGAGGCATTGGAGAGCGGGAGAGCGCTATCTTTCCAGGCTAGCTGTTTTTAGCAGCTGGCTAACTTGAAGCAGCGCGCTGTCACTCACACAACACGGTGAACTGATGATACTGTAGATCAAACACGACACAAAAGCACCGCTTTCAGTTTAAACGCACCTAAAAGGAGGACTCCGTTTGTCTGGTGTTGATATTTTGCAGTTCACCCCTTAAACTACTACAATAGTATAGAGAAATCCAGTCGTCGCCAGCTGGTGTCTGAATACTGTGACGTCATTTGTAGCGGGGTAGCCGAGCGCGCGTCACCAGCTAATAATAATCTGTTTTCTTTCTTAAATTATGACTATTACAAAATAGCCATGCTTTTCCAGCTGGTAAAAACAGCTCAGCAGACACTTTCTCCCACTCTCCCATAACAGATCTGTGAAATGTTCCACTGTTTGGCGAGTGTTCGTCATGTTCTGAACTTAAAGGATATTTTAAAACACGATATCGATATCGAACGATATGAATTTTGTTTATCGTGATAACATTTTTGGCCATATCGCCCAGCTCTATGTGTATCTATACTTTACTGAATTATTTCCATTTTGGGCGACTTTTCACTTTCACTCCACATTATGAGAAATCTGTCGTTTCTTTTGGCCTGTGTGTGTATAAAAACGTAACATGTCAAAACAAAAGAAACGTGAAGCAAAAACACCAATCAGGGCACAGCGCACTTTGTTTTGAGCTTGTTTTGACCTGTTGGTCATACCGACCCAGTGCAGCACACAGTTCAACATCAGTGCAGCAGCATAAAATTTTAGGAGAGTCTATTCAACATAAATAATGAACTAACCTAACTTTGAGTAAATAGACCACAATATAGAAATATGTACACATATGCAGTCGTGACTGACGTGTCTTTATTCTGAATTTATACAAACACTATTTCATTTTATAGTAAATTAGTTTTTGCTAGTTGATGTTTATGAACAGAGACCTACAGATGGAATACAGTAAAGGAAACTCATTTGTGAACCTGAGTTTAAAGCAAGTTTTTATTAAACCTGTAACCAAATCTGAAACTGAAACTTGTTTGCAAAAAGTTATTTCAGAGCCACTCAGTTCTACCTGATGGAAACTGTTTGTCTTCAGTGTTTTGTGTTTATGATAATTATAATAGACATCAGCGTCACTAATTAATGACATTCTATTAAAAGACTGGTTTACCAAGAGAGACACTGGAGTATTTTCACCTAAAATGAGTTAATGAAACGAGTCTTGTTACAAAAATGATAACAGGACATCAGAGTCATAATTAATCCTTTAGTACTTTTACTTTCGATACTTAAGTACATTTGAAGGCAAATACTTTTGTACTTTTACTCAAGTGGAGGTCTGAAGGGAGGAACTTCTACTTTTACTGGAGTAATATTTTACCTTGGGTATCTCTACTTTAACTGAAGTACATGATTTGTGTACCTCGTCCACCACTCTGACTGAGTCACACATTACAGTCACGCTGGTCAAGTTACATTGGATAAGTTATAAGTTATGCTTTCCAAGTTCTGCTGGCAGAGTTATGATATACCGTCCTTTTCTGTGCCTGGCTTTACTGTAGTTTTCTTTCCTGGTTAAAGTTGAAGCCTCACAGGGCTTCATGCTACATATTCTACTTTCTGATTTTGTCTTTGTGTTTTATAGGGCTGTGTGCTGCTGCCAGACTAACCATGTGTGTATCTGTTACAGGACACAAGGAACAGGCGGTAGAGTGGTACCGTAAGGGCATCACTGAGCTGGAGAAAGGCATCGCCATCCAAGTCACAGGCACTGGTGAGTTAGCCTCCATCACGCTCTGATTTCCCAGCATGCATTATGTACGACCTTAGTTCTTATAAACAAAACATCTACATGATACAGTTTCTGTTTGCAAGCATTTCCTGTGATCATATTATGCATATTATACTTTCCCTTCTGATGTGTTTTGCCTTTTGTGCCCTTCAGGAGAGAAATCGGACCGAGCCAGACGGCTACAGGCTAAGATGACCACCAATCTGACCATGGCCAAAGACCGGTTAGAACTGCTGGGTAAGTTGTTAAGTTGTTCAGTAATTTTAAATGTGTTTGTGTCTGTGGTTTATGACTCTGCATGACACTGTCATATACAGAAATGGACGTTAGCATAGCGAAAAACAGTTGTAGCAAAGATCTTAAAGCTTAAAGTTGTTCATACTTTTGTCCATGTTTATAAATAACAGTAGGTCATACCGTATCAGAAACCACATAACCAAGTCTATTAGAGATACTGAACGACTCGACACAGAGGCAAGTGTTTGAGACGACCCCAGTCAGGAATAACTCTGAGTTTACAGACTAGTCTAGACAGTCTAACTTGCCCTCATGATGTTATCACTGCATAATTTAATGAATGTATCAAGTTTGTGTCATAGTGACTTCAGCTATAACAGGCTATATAAGGGACGCCTTGATCATGTCTCATTCTGGCACAGATTTGCACTTTCCTCACTATAACATGTAGAGCTGCGACGTTTAATCGATTAATCGGCAGCTATTTTGGTAATCGATTAATTGATTTGAGTACATTTTAAAGAAAAGTAAGTAAAAATTCTGATTCCTGCTTCTTAAATTTGAATATTTTCTGGTTTCTTTTGCTCCTCTGTGACATCAACTTGAATAGATTTGGTATATTATTGATATAAAAATAATATATAAATATAATATTATTGATAAAAAAAGACATTTGAGGATGTCATCTTGGGCTTTGGAAAACAGACATTTTTCACCATTTTCTGACACTTTATAGAAGAAACAACTAATCGATTAATCGACAATGAAAATAATCGTTAGTTGCAGCCCTAATAACATGCATGTTCATTGATCTGAGCCCAGTTTAGTGTCAAGATAGTCTTAAATGAAAGTGTTCAGTGAGATGCCTGCCATACTATTTAAGAGTCATCTTTGTACTAAGATGCTTTTGGGAGACCCAGCCCTGAATTAGAGTTAAGATTTCGAAGTTGCATTAAAGTTAATAAATTAGTAAGTGTAGGTCTAATTTAAGTGCATTGAACTGGTTTAAGATCAGATTAAAGCACTGAACTTTCCTTGTGCCCAAACAAACACGCAAAAACCTTTTCAAGAGGTTTGTCTTCCTTCATTTTTCATTTTCCATTCCAAATCAAATCACTGGGTCTGTACATCTGCCATCATAAAACTCTGAGCCACCGTGTTGGAACTTGTCATGTCTGTCAGTGATGATTAAAATATAGAGCTAATTTAGTGATATGTTAATGATATGTTTACAAAACATACATACTAGCCCACATATAAACACACACATTAGTACACACCCGGGATACCATTGCAACGGCCTGGCAACACATTAGCCACCACCAAGTATAAGACAGCAGTAGCCAAGCAACACCTTAGCAGCCAAATGGGATACCATAGCATGGCCTGGCAACACATTAGCCACCAAATGGGATACCATAGCATGGCCTAGCAACACCTTAGCAGCCAAATGGGATACCATAGCATGGCCTAGCAACACCTTAGCAGCCAAATGGGATACCATAGCATGGCCTAGCAACACTTAGCACCAAATGGGATACCATAGCATGGCCTAGCAACACCTTAGCAGCCAAATGGGATACCATAGCATGGCCTAGCAACACCTTAGCAGCCAAATGGGATACCATAGCATGGCCTAGCAACACCTTAGCAGCCAAATGGGATACCATAGCATGGCCTAGCAACACCTTAGCAGCCAAATGAGATACCATAGCATGGCCTAGCAACACCTTAGCAGTCAAATGGGATACCATAGCATGACTTAGCAACACCTTAGCAACCAAATGGGATACCATAGCATGGCCTGGCAACACATTAGCAACCAAATGGGATACCATAGCATGGTCTAGCAACACCTTAGCAACCAAATGGGATACCATAGCATGGCTTAGCAACACATTAGCAACCACCTGGGAGGTTACAGCAGCAGCTTTGTCAAGCCAACTTAAAGCATAGGTCTAATATCAAATCTATCAGTATTTACTTTGTCCACTCTACCTACTGTCAGTTTAACCTTTTCTCATTCCAGTCTTAAAACCAATGAGGTACAGCTGTGTCCTCTCAAAAAAACGGCCCTGAATGAGTCACTGACATTATGATCCTTCAAAGGGACAAAACAGTATATTTCTAAGGATATTACATATAAGATGGTCAACTGGCACAAAAAAGGAAAATAAGTGAAAATAACAGAAGTTTCCAAAAGAACTTAGAAGATATAGAGAAAGTGGGACTCATAGCAACCATGCAAGACCTGGTAGACTCTCTTAAAGCTTTCTTCTTAGAGAGAGAGGAGAAAATCAAGCTCCACTCTTGATTCAGATCTGAAAACATCCTCAGGAGTTTCTGTCCATCCTTCCACTGTGAGACACTCAGCACTATGAGTCTGAAAGGATGTGCAGCTGTTAAGAAGCTCTTACTGAGAAAAGGAAATAGAACCAAAAAAGGGAGAAATTCTGCACTAGAACACCAAAAGTTTTATAGATTGATGAGTCTAATTTGTAATTGGGTTTATTTGGATCACAAGAATCAAAAAATGCAACCACCTTCTAAGTGTAGAAAAATATCCCTGCAGATTTCTTTGAAAAACTGAACTGAAGTCTGTTGAAAAGAATGAAAGCTGTGATAAAGGCAAGGAGTGAACACACTAAATACTGAAATATCTGAGATTTCATTTATTTGTTGAGGATGTTGTGAGATTTTCTTTTTTCCTGATGCTGTAAAATGGAGAACTTTGATTGTTTGAAGTTATTTGAAATGAAATAATTGACAGGTGGCGTCTGATTTTTGCACAGTACTGTAGATCTGATCCGAGACATTAAATTATTCAATGGATACTGGCGATGTGCATTCAGACAAGTTTTGGTATTGGAGTATCTGTAAGGGTTAATGAAGGATGAGGACCTTTTTAGGTGACAGCACACATGTTGCACAAAAATTAGCAGCATGCAGATTTATACATTTGAAAACGTTTTAATATTCAGAAATAGCCAATAGGTTGTCATGTTGGATTAGTAATACAGGCTGCCTCAGTCACGTCCTTAACTATGTGTCGCTGGCAACACATTTTTAATCAGGCACTTGTGTCTCGCAGTAGCAAAGTGTAATCTTACCTACATACTTACTTGCAAATAAGAGTAAACTCACCACATTTTACAGCTCTTTTAAAACACAAAGTCGACATTGTGCTAAATTGTTTTTCTTCATCTTCCTGTGATAAAACAGGACGAATACCCAGATAGTGATTTCAGTCTTCAAATACTGACACCTCGAGCAGTTAACAGAGTCCTTGAGTACCTTGAATATCTCTAATGGAAACATGAGTGAACTATTTCAGAACCACTTCTGAAACAAACACCGCTTTGCCATCAGTTCAGATTTTCTGATTCGGTGGCTCTGAGGTCTGTGGTGTGCTGTCTAAGTGTCCACACTCCAGCTGATTTCTCACAGAAGATGTTCTTGTTTCTCTCTGTTTCATTGTTTCACCTGTTTCTGTGCTTGGTGGATTTGGTTTATCTTCACTGTCCTGCTTCTCTCCCCCTGAATGTTCCCCTTTCTCTCCATCTCTTTCTGTTTGGTTGTGGTAAAGCTAAGCTGCGGTCAGAATCTCATCGCTCTGTTTACACTGACGGCTCTGACCAGGCTCTGTCCAACGGCAACCTGCGGCCAGGTGGGTAAACGACAGCTTACTGATTACTGACCTGTTGCGCTTCGGTTGTAAGGAGATGAAGCTGGGCCCCAGTGGTCAGTAAAGGCAGCTCAAATGAAACCACAAAAAAATCTCTCATAGCGATTTGCTTTGATCCCAGTTCTTTAGGGAATGATTCACTTCTCTTCCATTTGATTCAGAGTAATCAATTAGCTGAGTAAAAATACACTGAACGTACAAATGTTCAGTGTTCAGCGTACCAGATATGCACATATTTCATTGAATATTATCGTATATTAAATAACATGTGCATAATATATTATTTTATATATTATATATGATATAGACAACGCTGTTATGTGAATTCTATTCTTCTTTTTTTTTCTGCTCAATTTTTGCCGCGCTCATCCTGCTAATGTAAGCATGATACAGTTTCACTAGCAATAACCAATTTCCTAGCAGTCACCTGGAACACCATAACAACCACCTAGCAACCCCTGTAGCAGCTATCAGAGATACCATAGCAAAACATCTAGCAATATGCAAGTAACCACCTACAAACACCATATCAACCACCTAGCAACCCCTAGCGACCATGAGAGATGCCGAACTAACTCCCTATCAGCACCCCTGCAGTCACCTCCAGTACCATAGCAACTACATGGGAACATCCTAGCAACCAACAGAGATTCTATCAAAACCACTTAACCACACCCTAGCCACCATCTGGAATACCATAGCAACCACCTAACGACACTCAAGCAACAGCCTGCAATACCATAGTAAACCAGACAGCAACAACTTAGCAGCAGCCAAGAATAGCATAGCAACCAACTAGCAGTCCCCTGGCAACCGCTGTGGAACACCATAGCAACCATCTAGCAACAATACCAGTAAGTAGATAAGCTGCGTGATTTCGCTGCATTTCTTCAGGAGAAGCACTGTTGTAGTTGATTCTAACATTCAGAGATTAATGCAGTTGAATCACCTTCAGATCAAAGTTTAAGTTTTGGTCTAATGTCTGTAATGTGGTATAGTATTATTTTCAATGTGAGATGAAAGACCAATAAGATCAACGTTACACTAATCAAAACATGAAGCCATCGGCGCTCCACATCTACAAATGTCAGATATGATCGAAAATGAGAATATTTATAGATCCGAAGTGTAATAAACCTGTAGTTAGTAAGCAAGCGTTAAAACAGACGGAGCCGGTTTTAGAACATCAGGAACATGGGACAAAGAACATGATGCATGATTTGTATTTATTGCGTGTCATTTTTGTTTGTGCTGTTGCATCGTGTGCTTTGCAAAACAGCTAACTTTTTGCAAAGCACCAACACAGTCAAAATGACATTTATTTTCGCACGCAATCATTTTTTTGTATGTTTTTTTTTCTCAGCTCTCCAGATGTTTCAAATTTAAATGACTTTTTAAAAGAAATTTTCATTAGATTTTTATATTCGTTATATATACGGTACTGGCCTATGTGTGCGCAATGTAGAGTCATTTATTTGGGCAGTTAGCATTTATTTGTTCCCAAAAAAAAACACTAGAAATAAACAATACATTGTGATTGTTCTATGTTGGCTTAAGAATTACCCGAGCTCTTCTCGAGGATGTCTGATATTTATAGTTACCACAGAAAACCTAGTTTATCAGATCAGTCCTTCACTGAATTTAATCAAATGAAATAAACAAATCTATGAGATGGCTGAAGTGCCAGGAACCAAACCTGCGTTCTTCTAACTAACATGTAAAAAACTTGACTGAAAACAAAAGTCTTTTTACTTTTAACTCCATCCATGTTTATTTGTATTTATTCTGATGTTATAGAGTGTTTATACCGGCATCAGCACACTTACTGCTGACAGTTTTTGTGGGTGCCTAAGACTGCACAGTTCTGAGTATCTCCCAGTGCTGATTACTGTGATTGTAAATATGTTTTGCAGTCAGTGGTGCTGTTCCTAAGAAGAGAGACTCTAATACGTCTCAGGCGAAGGTGAAACAGCCCACCAGACCACCCTTCAGCGCCCCCCAGCGTGCACACAGCTTCACTGCAGCACCTACAGGAGCCACCGGCCGACCTGGACAGCACAAGGTAACCACAGGAAACACCAGCGTGTCCAGTGTGGGTTTGTTCAGTGTCTATGTGGGTTTGTTCAGTGTCTAAGTAGAAGTGTGCTGCATACTGTAAAGAACAGATGAATGTATCGAACTTCTTTCCCCACGTGTGTTTAATGCTTATAAAAATGTGCTCATGGGACCCTGAGGGTCCTCACAGTCGATTTAACATACAAAAAGATGGCTGTGTCCTTTTGCTGGGCCTCTTAAATGTTTATTTGAATCTTGGCCAACATTTCTTCTCATCTTAAGTGGTCAAGGTTAAGGTAAGGAAAAACTGGAGTGGCCTGCAATTGACCAAGAAAATGCTCCCGACTTTGTAAAGTGCTTTATGCAAAAGCTCAGTGTTTATTTTTTTCAAACTAAAAGAGCAAAAGCATTTCTTTTTGTTTACTGAAGTTAGGTACTGCTGCACAGTTTGTGTTGGTCATCCTCTAGTCCTTCATCAGTGGTCAGAGGACGCTGCCCACTGGACACTGTTGGATGTATATATGTGTATATATATATATATATATGTATATGTATGTGTGTATATGTGTGTGTGTGTGTGTGTGTGTGTGTGTGTGTGTGTGTGTGTGTGCTTTGGTAGTAATACTTTGATATGAATAATATATATGATGCATTATCCATATGTGCCTGAAAAAAATGGAGGTGGGGTAGCGGTCAGCAGACATACGGCAAATTTACCATGTACGATTTCTACCAAAATCGAGGGATGACTTCTTAAAACGGGATTACATACAAATTAAAGTATGGACACTAACATATTTCTACTACAAATATGATCTCACTGTATAAAAACAAACTATATTTATGTGTTTCTCAGGCTGCGGCTGGTCGTGGTGGAGGCAGAGGGAACGTTAAAGCCGGTGGTGCTCCTTCCTCCGCTCTACAGCCGAAGAGAGACATGAAGAACTTTAAAAATGTGGACAGCAAACTAGCCAACCTCATCCTTAACGAGATAGTGGACAGGTGGGGTTGTTTTCAGCCAGTGAGCACTGTCTGTTTGGGATAAGATACAGTACATACTGAGTCTGTATTTCAGTTTTCACACTGGATTTGTGGGTGAGGAAATTTGACTCCTTTTGCTGATCCTCACAAATTTACTTATTATTTCTTTGTAAACTAGTGATTTTTATCAGAAAACTGAATGGTTAAAGTTTGATTTAGAATTGTTTTTGCAGTATCTTTGGAGTCAATGTAGGTTCTCACATTATCTGTGTATGTGCATGGTGCAGTGGCTCAGCGGTGCGGTTTGAGGACGTAGCTGGACAGGATTTGGCTAAGCAGGCTCTCCAGGAGATCGTAATCCTGCCGGCGCTGCGGCCTGAGGTACATCTACACAACAGCTCAGTCAAACTGTCTCTACAGAAACCAGCAGAGATCAGTTTGAAGTGATAGTTCAGCAGTGTGGTACCCCAAAAACAGTCAGTCAGCCATGACATGTTTGGTGTCTGAAGGCTTTAGTTTTGTACTGGAGCTGTGAGGCTAACAAATAATGGGATATTATGACTGTTAACTAGCGTTGTGCTAACTGCATCATCACACACTTGCCTCAACCGTGATCTGAAATAGACTTGATTACGTGGTCTGCGGCTCTTTTACTGCCCTGTTGTGGCTCTACAGCGGAATTTGTAAACGCTGGAGTTAATGTATAACTGCAAATTCACCCTTTAACCCTGAAGGTTGGCGCTTAGACTGTGGGTCACCATAGTAACGCAGACAACAGTCATGCCTTGCTAGTATCTAACGAAAAGGCAAAGAAAAAGATTTAAGACAAACATTGATAAATTTGGAGACAAATAGGTTTATTTGTGTTTATAATAACTCAGCTGGTTTCCTGATACGTTTCGTCTCAGCAGCTTCTCGTTTTAATTTTCCCATTCCACCTTAAATGGGGCTGCCGTTACATTCTGGCGCCTTAGGCACCATTTAAGGTGGGACGTGAAAGTTGGAACAAGAGAGCTGGCGAATGAGAAGCGACTTCAGCCTCATGAAAAGTTGAACGTTAAGAGACGTTTTACAAGAATCTGTTCTACTTTTGGAAAAGTTTCCTGCTGGAGATGTGAGAAAAGCGGCTATAGCTGAGCGAAAGCTTTATTAGCTTTTTTGTTAGCCTACACTAAGACATCAGCACATACTGAGACATAGTTACAGCCAAGATGGTAAAATGGACGTAAAATGTTGTGGCTCCCAAGGTGGTTAGATTTTTGCTGAAAGGACGAAATGGCTCTCTTAACATTTTGGGTTGCCGACCCGCGTTATAGATAACAATACTTATCAATATCATAACACTTCACACGAGTTGCTTATTAGAAGAATATGTTACATATGCTACATTAGCCTTGTAGCTCCAGTACAAAAGTAGAGAAGTCAAAAGACACCAAACCTGTCTTGGCTGATCTCTACATTTAGGGTACGTGGTGGGGAGGGGACTGTAAAAATGTGGGTTTTTTTTTTTGGTCAATTTGTCACTTTAATACAGTATAATTTCACTATAAATACTGTATGTTTTGATATTCTGTAGGATGCACCAAATCAGCACATTTTTGCTCCAAACAGAAACAGTGACCAATTTTTTATTTTTATTATTGGCCGATTTGTGTTGTAATTTCATGATCTAAAGTACGGTGAGGGAGCTGAGTGCGCTTGTGCTGTTTGAACGCTGCTGCTGCCCCAGGAACCAAAATATTGTAGCATAAACATACATGATTCATTAAGCTATTCATCCAGTCAGCTCTTACTTTCAGTGTAGCACTTTATTTGATTCATGTTACTTAAAAAGGCAACTGATCTTTCATTTCAGAATCCAAAATACCAGTTTGAAGGGCTAAATGATAAATCTTTTTTTTAATTGAAATCACAATGTGAAAGAGTGAAATTTTCAAATTGTTAGAGCTGCAATTTAATTATATCTTACATTAACAAGTTTTAACAAGTTTTGCTTTTAAATTTAACCTAATAACACAGAGCTGGTGACCTGGCAGTCTGACATGCTACATTCAGTGTTCAAGCCTCAAACCTGAAAAATTGGGTGTGTTGATCTTCTTGAGAAAGAAGTTCTGGAGCTTAATTTGCAGAAAGTAAATGCATTTATTGGTCAGTAAAATCACAGAGAGTCACTTTGACTGATAGAAAGGACTGGAAATGTTCTGTTGTGTTTCATGTGTTCACTTAACCCACACAGTGTGAGCTTTGGATTAATATAAATAAATAAGTAAATAAATCAGCCATAAAATGAACCATCAGTGCATCCTTACTTTATACCTTACCAATACGTTTCTAATAACATTAGTGCTTTAAGCTGGTGTAATAATCACTGAAGCACAAATGCTGCCGTTGACTTTGCTGTTTGGCCTGTGTGCAGCATTTAGTTCATGCAAACCATTATGATTGACTCTTTCTGATAAGAGTCTATTATTAGTGCCTTGTTTTAAAGCCTTATTTGAATGAGACCACACACATGGCTTCCGTATTGTTGAAAGTGACACTTCTACTTTGCTGATTCATTCATTTCATTTTTTTATATCCCTACATTGTTTGTTTATTTGTGTTGCAGTTGTTTACTGGCCTCAGGGCTCCTGCGAGAGGCCTCCTCCTGTTCGGTCCCCCCGGCAACGGGAAAACCATGCTGGTACGAACAAAACATCAATCAAAATACAGCTGTACTAAAGCCGAGAGCACGTACAGTTTCACTGTATTGTTTTTGAAGCAGTATTTCATGTTTAAAAAAAAACACATTTTTTTCTTTAAACCTGTCTATTTTTGTTCTTCAGGCCAAAGCGGTTGCCATGGAATCCAATGCTACCTTCTTCAACATCAGTGCTGCCAGTCTGACCTCTAAATATGTGAGTTAATTTAACTTGGACAACAAGACAAAACTGATTCTGATCAAAGAGTTAATCTGTCTTTTATTTCACATATTTCTGCACATTAACGGAATATATACATACATTAAATATATAATATATATATATATATATATATATCCATATATATATATATATATATATATATATATATATATAAAATATTCATTTAAAAAAAAAAAACGAAAGTGACTCTTTTTGGCTGGAAAGCTTTGCCCGCTCTCTATACAGGTAAGCTACAGTCACTCTTATACATGCATACATACATATATAAATTCCGTACACACACACACACACACACACACACACACACACACATATATATAATATATATATATATATATATACACATATATATGAATACCACCACACCCTGTTTCTATAGTACTGCTGTTTCTAAGCGCTGTATAGTCTGACTGATTCTTTGTGTGTAATTAAGTAAATGATGAGTTTTATTTGTTTGTGTGCTTTAATTTCAAAGTACTTTAGGTTATTAGGTGGAAACTTAATTTATACTAACACAGCAATAAAATGAGAGCATTAACATCTGTTCCGTTTGTGTTTGTAGGTGGGTGAAGGTGAGAAACTGGTTCGGGCTCTGTTTGCTGTTGCCAGGGAACTTCAGCCATCAATCATCTTCATTGGTGAGAAAAGAGATGATCAAATGTTTTTACATTTATTATGAGGGGCACGTTTCATTTAGTGAGACCACCTTCACCTCATTCACTCACTTGTTCGTTCGTTCGTTCGTTCGTTCGTTCACTCACTCACTGATCAGCTGACTGTGAGGACAGAGGGAGAGCAGTAACGTGTCTGTCTGTGCAGATGAAATAGACAGTCTGCTGTGTGAGAGAAGAGAAGGAGAGCATGACGCCAGCAGAAGACTGAAGACTGAGTTCCTCGTCCAGTTTGACGGAGTACAAACACTTCTTTTTATCTTTTTCTTTTTTTTCCTCTTTCTGTTCCCTTTACTGTCTCTTCTCTCTGCCTTTTTTTCTCTCTCTTGCCTCTGTGTCTCTCTCTGGCTGTTTTTCCCTCTCTTTTCCCCTTTGCCTTAGTTCTCTCTCTCTCTCTCTCTCTCCTCCTCCTCTCTGATTCTTCCACTTCTTATATGTAGAATGTTTGACTAAGCAGAATTTCTCACTAATATTGAGATCTGAAAAGTATCATTAAAGCTCTTTTGTATGTTTTTATAGCTAAATGTCTGATTTTTTTTTTTTTACTGGGTGTAGGACTAAGCTGTGTGTCTGTGTGTGTCTGTGTGTAGATGCAGTCAGGAGGTGATGACCGTGTGTTGGTGATGGGAGCCACTAACAGACCTCAGGAACTGGACGAGGCTGTGCTGAGGTCAGATTTTAGAAACACTTTATTAGAAACACGTACCTGGTACTTCTGCTCACTGGCCACTTTATTAGAAACACCTACCTTGTACTTCCACTCAGTGGCCACTTTATTAGAAACACATACCTGGTACTTCTGCTCACTGGCCACTTTATTAGAAACACCTACCTTGTACTTCCACTAGCTGGCCAATTTATTAGAAACACCTATCCTATACTTCCACTTATTGGCCTCTTTATTAGAAACACTTACTTCCACTAACTGGCCAGTTTATTAGAAACACCTACCTTGTTCTTCCGCTCACTGGCCACTTTATTGAAAACACCTGCCTTGTACTTTCACTCACTGGAGCTAGAAGAGTAGGGGTGTCTAATAAAGCGGCTCTCTGAGCTCCATCTCTAATATCTCACTGTGTGTCTGATCTGCAGGCGCTTTCCCAAGCGTATTTACGTGTCTTTGCCCACAGAGGAGGTGAGTCAAATATTGAGCCCATCATTCAAAATGTTTCTTTAAAGGCACTAAAGTATGTGTGAGCAATGTCATCACAACAATACCAGTGAAATGTCAAATCCAAGTCTGTGTTCTTGTGGCTCTCAGACACGTCTGAAGCTGTTGAAGAACCTGCTGGCGAAACATGGCAACCCACTGACACAGAAGGAGCTGAGTCAGCTAGCCAGGTCAGAGATCTAACTCACACACAGACACACACACACCACAGAGGGATGCAGGAAGATGTTTTTATGCCAAATGTTTCTTCATTTAAATGCTTATGCTAATTTGCATAAAACAGAATATGTCATCATGTGGCGAGTGATCAAGATATAAACATATAACTGACACATCAAAAAGGACAAACAATACACATGTATTTCTGTATATTCAGAATGTGGGACATGATGTTAGATGGATTTATTAGGCCTATATGGGTCAGACAAACAGCCCACAACTCTGCTTACACTTTCACTCTGCACCCCTCAACTTCCATGTGTTTCAGCAGCACGTCCCCGAAGTGGCTAACAGTTGTTGGAGAGGGAACTGATTCAGTTCCCTGTAATGTAAATGCAGCATTAAAGAGGAATTCCGCCGATGTTTCAAAAATGTTTGCATAATTAAATTGATAGTATGTAAACAGAGTCATTCAGAGTGGTTTGGTGTGAAACGCTCTGTTCTAGAGGAACTGAGAGTCAGAATTGTTCACAGTGGTGGTGATAGGAACCAGACGTCTGAAGAGTTTAATGCTTGTAAAATCTCCATCACATAAAGTTATTAGCTGAAGTGGTTATGAATATGTTGTCTGATGTCTGAAACATTGTTTTACGGTGGTTTTGGAATCAAATTTTGTCCCAAAACATAACTAAACTAAATAATCTGGTCATGGCAGAGAGGTACGTGCAGGGTGTAGGAGGCAAAATAGTTCCCCAAAAATATTTTTTTCAGATTATTTCACCATCATTAACATTACATATAAAAACTGAAGTGTAGGTTGACTGGTAGTTTTAGATAATAAGTAAAATGGCTATATTTGTGTTGTAGTCTTTGTGAACCCTGGTTCCCATCACCACCACTGAAGAAAATCTAAACCAGCAAGTTTCCTTACAGTGAACAGTGTCACATCATGCTGCTCTGTATGGCTTTGTTTACATCTTAATGATTGAATTATGGAGAAATTGTGAAAAATCAGTGGAGTTCCCCTTTAATTTACACAGTGCATACACAGTTTACATTACTGCACATTGAAAACATGTGAGGAAAAAAAGACAGTACAAAACTCCAACGTATAAGAATCGTGCAGAGATCTTTACTACTTTCAAACTTTTTAAAACTTTTTTTTTTGTTTATTTTAGTTTTTTAATTATTTGTAGCAGTTGAACAATCCTGTTATCTGGTGGTGTTGCAGCCCCCTCAGCACCCCCACTTCCCGCATCCCTGCACACACACAAATTTTCCATCTTCCTTTCACTCAGCTGTCAGTTCACTAACTGTAGCTGAGAATTAAAAATACAACACTGAACATATTCTGCCTTTCCATCTATTACGTGTTGTGTGTTTGCAGGATGACTGATGGTTACTCGGGCAGTGATCTGACCTCTTTGGCTAAAGATGCTGCACTCGGACCCATAAGAGGTGAGATTTAAGTCAGAGTGAATGGAAAAGTCATAACTCGCTTTCCTTTTGTACTTTGATGTATTTGTGTGTGAAACGTGATATCAGGGAGGGTCTCTGAGCTCGCTAAGTGTTTTCTCTCCATGACGGATGGGGAGATTTGATTTGGTTGGTAATTCAGAACGACTCCACAGTCAACAGCAGTCAGTGACTGATGGAGTAGAGCTCAGCAGAGTTGAGTCAAACACACTGTAAAGACATGCGTACAGTCATATGCAAAACACCCCCAGTCAAATTCCTAGTCTTGTTGATTTTCTAAGTAAAAATAAGTTAATATATCCTCTACAGAAGACACACTTAAATATGCTGTTTTTCTGCACGATTTCTGTTTATTCACTGAGTTTAACATATTGGGGAAAAAATAAACCAGAAAATGTAAAATGTGCCAGAACGTTAGCACAGGCCACGTTTTATGTTTAATGTTTTTTTCCAGTACATTAGATTCAGCAAATAAACAGTAATTGAGCCCCACAGAAAATTTCACATATACATGTCGCTGCTGTCGGAGCAAAACCTCATATCTCCAAAGTAATAACTTTACAGGAGAAGGAAAAAACATACTATACTTTTAATGTATGTCAATAGAACCAGAATTTTTTTCCAAGTAATTTTGGGCTGTTTTTGTTGGTCCATTCATCATGAAATTTACACACAATGTAAAGATCAACAAGCATATTCAAATAATGTCAAAACCTGAAAAAGGCCAAAAATGAAGATATAAGGTTTTGACCCGATATATATATATATATATATATATATATATATATATATACGTGTGTGTGTGTGTGTGTGTGTGTGTATAGATATATAGATAGATAGATAGATAGATAGATAGATAGATAGATAGATAGATAAATATGCATTGTGACATTTTTTGCAAAATAAAGAGGTCACTAAAACGTAAATGAAGCACAGTTTGACTTGTGAATGTAAAAGGTTGTACAAAATTGAATGGAATGGTTACTGTATGGTTCTTCGTTGGAGGGACTGTGTATTCACATGTGCAGACGTGTGCTCTCTGTAGAGGATGTCTAACTTATTTTCACTTCAACTAAACATGTGATTGACCGGGTTATTCACACTTTTGCATACAGCTGTATGTCCATGTTAGATTTTCAGCCAATGTGTTTGAATAAAATATGAGAAGAACTGATAAAAATTGCTAAAATATATATGAGAACCAAACCACAAATAATTCTAGGTGGCTCTGCCCCACAGGACTAGAGTATTTATATTATTTTAGACAGAGTTTTGGAGTTTCTGCTGTTTTATTTGAGTTTAAGAAACGTGACAACTGAGACCTGATAATCATTTATCAGTAAACACTGGATACTCGAGAATACAGTTAAAACACAAATATAAAATTATATTGAATTTTTTACTAATAATTTGTAGCTCCTTATAGAGTGACTTCGTATCAGTTGACCTAAAGTAAAAAAAAATCAGTAGTGATTTCTTGTTTTTCTTTAATGAAACTGGAGCTAAAATGATTTTTGTAAACACTTCAAGTAAAAATAAACTTTAAATATTTCACTTTTCACCACAGAATAAAAGATAATAGCACAGTAATAACACATTAACAGCACAGTAGTGAACTCAATCAACTTCTCGACTTATTTTGTGTGTTAGTATGTATTTTTATTTATATTATATATTTATTTCTGTGTTTAAATCTGTCTTCCTGCGTGTCCACAGAACTGCGTCCGGAGCAAGTGAGGAACATGGCTGCAAACGAGGTGCACTAAGTAACTTTAGTGTTATTCATTTAATTAAAGAAACTGGTTTATAAACCAAATTAAGGAGATAAACTGAACGTGATACAGAATATTTAGTTAATCCTCTCTCTCTTCGTCTGTCTTTCACTGTTTCTTTCTCTCTCCCTTTTTCATACTTTCTCCTTTTATCTATCCATCTGTCTGTCTATCTGTCTTACTCTTTCTATCTTTTTATCTGACTATCCCTCAATCTATTTCTGTGACTCTTTACTTACCTGTTTCCTTTCTGCCTTCCTTTCTTTCTTCCAATCTCCCTTCCTCCCTTCCTTTCTTCCTTCCTGCCTTCCTTCTTCTCTTCCTCCCTGCCTTCCTTCCTTACTCCCTGCCTTCCTTTCTTCCTTCCTTTCTCTCTCCCTCCCTCCCTTCCTTACTCCCTGCCTTCCTTTCTGCCTGCCTTCCTTCCTTCCTTACTTACTTACTTCCTGTCTTCCTTTTTTCCTTCCTTACTCCCTGCTTTCCTTTTTTCCTTCCTTACTCCCTGCCTTCCTTCCTTCTTTCCTTCCTTCTTTCCTTCTTTACTCCCTGCCTTCCTTTCTGCCTGCCTTCCTTCCTTCCTTCCTTACTCCTTGCCTTCCTTTACTTCTTTCCTTCCTTACTCCCTGCCTTCCTTTCTGCCTGCCTTCCTTCCTTCCTTACTCCTTGCCTTCCTTCCTTCTTTCCTTCCTTACTCCCTGCCTTCCTTTCTGCCTTCCTTTCTGCCTGCCTTTCTGCCTGCCTTTCTTCCTTCCTTGCTCCCTGCCTTCCTTTTTTCCCTCCCTCCCTCCCTCTCTCCCTTTCCTTGTCTCTCTCTTTCTCAGATGAGGAACATCCGTTTCTCTGATTTTGTGGACTCTCTGAAGAAGATAAAGAGGAGTGTGAGTCCTCAGACTCTGGATCAGTACGTCCGCTGGAACCGAGAGTACGGAGACACGACTGCTGTATGACACGCAGTTCCTCTGTGTGACCTCTGAGCTTTAAACTGTGACCTGCTGGTCCTTAAACATGAATGAAGACTAGTTTGGCTCTGATGGAGGAGCTGCCGTCTACCGTGAGCCCCCCTGGAGGAGAACGGACACCTGTGGAGGAGAATTTATTCAGACTTATTCGGAAAAGCACTGCATTTTTACGGATTCTGCTGCGGTACTGAAAACTGTCTGGTGTGGATTTGCTGAGTGTGCACTAGTGCATTAGATTTAGATGAATCAGAACTGAACTGACGAACACATGAACCTTTTGACTCAGCGTCAGATAATCAGACGAGAACCGGCTTCAACAGAACTTTCACTTGTCTGGAAACCTGTGCATGAGAAGCTGTGGAAGTGGCTCAGTGGTGAGGGCTTCACTACTGGAACATGTTGGACTTGGAGGGGCTCTGTTGTGAGTCCCACTGTGGGGGACGCTGTATGTCCAAAAGTTTGTAGACACCTGCTCATCCAGTGCTGCTTAATTAATAGGTAGTCCTTCACCTTACCCTTCTGAGAAGGCTTTATACTAGATGTTGGAACATTGCTGTGAGGATTTGATTGAATTCGGCCACAAGACTATTAGTGAGATCAGGTACTGGTGTTGGATAGTCAGCTCTGGATCACTCCACTCCAGCTCATCCCAAAGGTATTGGATGGAGCTCCGTCACTCCAGAGGACGTTCAGAGCGTCCCGCTCTATTGGTGTAGAAATTGAATGCTTATGTCAGCAATAGGTCCTTAAAGTAGCTTTTGGACATACAGTATAAAAACAGGAGAATTTTACTGTTGTAAAATAGATCACCACCAACTGGCCAACCCATGCAAATGTTTCATAGCAACTGTTGCCAGGTTGGACAAGCTTTACAAAACATTGACAAAAATCTCATTCAGTCTTAACGAGAAATTGAGTAAAAGTTTTTGCCCAAAATACCTAAATTTAAAGTGCCATATACACCGATCAGGCATAACATTATGACCACCTCCTTGTTTCTACACTCATTGTCCATTTTATCAGCTCCACTTACTATATAGGTGCACTTTGTAGTTCTACAGTTACAGACTGTAGTCCATCTGTTTCTCTGCATACTTTGTTAGCCCCCTTTTACCCTGTTCTTCAGTGGTCAGGACCCCATGGACCCTCACAGAGCAGGTACTATATGGGTGGTGGGTCATTCTCAGCACTGCAGAAACACTGACGTGGTGGTGGTGTGTTAGTGGGTGTTGTGCTGGTCTGAGTGGATCAGACACAGCAGTGCTGCTGGAGTTTTTAAACACTTGTAAATACAAGAAGGAAAAGTGGCAAAAGTCCTGGCTGCAGCAGTAGAAGAGCAGAAGCTGGTGAAAAAATGATTAGAAGATGAAAAACTACAGTGTGGCCTTTCAGAGACATACAGAATCAATATCATTTAACATTTGTGCTCTACAGTTTCTCATTACATTGAATGGAGTTCATGACAATGTCCTTTAAAGCCTGTCCAACTTTTGCTACAAAAGAATGCATCGCATGGACGGGTCAGTTCCTCAACAGGTTGAATGGGATTTTTGCCTTTAAGCTATGGAAAAAAATACTACTGGTGGACCCAGAACAGGTCAGCCGGATCAAAGTGGTAATCTTTGTCACAAAACCCGATGCTGGATCAGCACAACTGATCTCACACCATGGATGTTTGCATAAGTTGTTGTGGAAACCAAGTTTATTTCTTCAGCTCAACTCAGGATGACCAGTATAAGCCAAAGCCCCTCCTCAGCCTACAGCCCCTACAGCTTCAGCAGCAGCCTGTTTGAATTCTGCCACTAGTTGTCCAATTCAGCACTTGATGGGAGATTCTGGCGTTTGTGCCTTAGCTTTAATGTGGCGTAGATTAATTCTTCCTGTAAATATCAAGCTGTTAATAATTTATCCCAGTTTGATTTCTACTTGTAGGAGGTGAATATGTCCCGTATGTGAATCTCATGCCTTTTTACTTGAATGCACTTGTGTCTGCACAGATTATTAATTTAAAGGGCTGCTTGGTTTCATAATCTGTTATTGTCTGTTATGATTCATGATCAGTTATCTTCCGGTATTCTCTTTAAAAAGTCTCTTTTTTTTTTTGCAGACGAAAAAGCAATATACATTTTATACCTGTGATATATAGCAGTTGTCTGTGGGACAGATTACGGAAGATTATTATTATTATTTTGTAATATTGAACATGTCAGTGTTGTAAGAAGAATCCTAATCAGGATCTGCTGATCATTTTTGGGTGTTTTTTGTTGTGCATAAATCCAAATAGCTAAATCCCAGCTGATTTATGACCACTAGGGGGAGGCAAATACAATACATTCATGTATTGTACATGTTCATCTGCGTTACTGAAATGGATAACAAAATAATAAAGGATGGATATAGAAGACTGACCCACCTCCCACCACCAAGGTCATACCCATGCATCTTTAAGTGGTTTATTTTGTGTGCTGTGTTGCTTTAGGCACTGATTTGATTGGTAAATATGGCAAGTATGGCGCTGTAATAAAGACACTGCTCATTGGTTCCAGTTTTGTAGCTGTTATTTCTATTTATAGTGTGGTTAATGGTGGGTATAAGCTTGCATTACCTACAGCTACATTAGTAATGGTGTATGACGTGCTGTTATCTATAAAAATGGGCAAAAGTACATTAGCATAGCTAAAAACAGTAGCAGCCAGCTTGAAGCCCGAATTTTGTCCGTATTCTTGTCCATTTTTATAGATAACAGTGTGCCATACAGTGTCAGTCTTCACATGACTTGAGGCAGCTGTGTGACAGTTTAGGCATGCGGTGAGCATGGTGCTAATTGGTGGGATGCAAAACTGTAGAAGCAAACTCTGGACATCAAATACGTAAACCTACAGAACTGGGACTGCACACATTGTTAATGAATACGCCTCTTCTTTTCTAGGAAAAAAAACACAGATTTTAGAACGAGTCAAAAAACAGACAGTGGTGTATTTGCGTATTGCACTTTAATTCCATCCAGAGCATCCGATGTAACAGCCTCTACCGCCTTCAAACACACACACAGCCTGACCTGAGATCTGCATTCCATGCTACAGACCCATTCATTACCATTAGGAGGTACCACACCTGATCCTGGACCAACGGCTAAAGGGGGAAATCATTACTGAGTCGTTCATCTTCAGTGTGTTCAGTCTAGCAGGACCGACAGCAGCTGACCGTCACAGTATACATTCAGATAGAATTACAGTGAAAATCAAACTGACCGTGACTGTAAGGGACACAATGCTAAAGGTGATCATTGGATAATGATGAGATATATATAATGTATACATACACACATACACATGCAAATACATAACATGGGTATGCATATACACTCTTGAGAATTAGTGTTTTTGCTAGTAAAAACACCATATAAACAGAATAAATGCAAATTAACAAATACAGTAAAAGTAATTTTTTTTTCTTTCAAAAAAGGAGTTGAAAGCTTGTAAGGCTAATCTCCTCCATGCCCCCAGCCATCACAAAGATTTGTTGAATATCATCGGCAACACTTGATTTAACATAATGAAGTACTGGCTGGCCAAAGCTGCAATTAACAGCAGGTTTCCTTGAGGAGAGGTTTGGAAAATCAGTTTCTGTATTAATATTTTTGTATTTATTCTGCTGTGTTTTCTGAGCAAATAATGCTTAATGACCAGATAAATAGTTTTTCACTCTAATTTTTTCATGTGCCTAAAACTTTCGCACAGTACTGTATATGCATACACAGTTACTCATATACATCCATTCACTCACACACATGGATAAGAGCCCACAGGCAGACAGACAGACGGACTCTAACAGTCGAGAAGCTGGATATGGGCCGTATGTAAGAGGCAGTAAGAGGCAGCGTGTGTGACTGGTGTTGAGAGTGTGAGTGTAGAAAGGCTTCAGTGGTCCAGGATGCGCAGGTTTCCGGAGACAATCTTGTTCTCCAGCATCGCTCCGGCCGGAATGTCGATCCGATCTCCGTGATTAGCGATGATTATGACCGTGCCCTGGAACATTAAGAAAAGGTTATAAAATATGTTTAAATAAATAAGAACATTTGCCTCAACGTCAGTTTAACGACGTTTCATTTCTCTGTTTTTCACAAACAGCCAAGTAATATGTAAATCATTGTATCTACACCATCTACGAATTTAATGTATTAAAGTATTTTTGTTATTTAAAGAAATCATATATGTAAATACATGATTAGCTGCATTCAAGCACACATTTAGATACCCAAAGTGTTACATCTCTTGCAAGTGTCATGTAAATCATGCAAAAGATTCTGCGCTCCCTAATATATTTACGTGATTTGCACAGGACTTACTTTAATCAGGTGGGTTATTTATTTATCAAAATGAATGGATGGTATTGGTATATGAAAATACTCAGTATCTGTACCCAGTGTCATTCACCTATCTGTCCATCTGTCTATCCATCCACCCAGACACACAGTACAGATTGATTCAAAAAGATTCATCCGATTTTAAAAATGACATCACTTGTAAATCATTACAGAACAATGCAGTAAACTGTAAATGGTTTAAATGAGCATAAAGTTTATTAAGTAATTTTACAAGTGCTCAGTATGAACCTCCTCCAGCTGTTCGGACATCAACGCCATAGTCAAATTCATCCCATACTTGACAGAGCATGTCGGGTGTTGCTGCACTCACGGCTCTTTCAGGGTGATTTCGGAGATCATCCAGTGTTGTGGAACCAACGCCGAATGCTCTGAGCTGTTGGAGCTTCACTGCCCATGAAAATCACGCTGCACAGTTATGACGGATTCACTCTTATTGAAGTGCTGTCTGCTCAGGGGTCATCTCCTTTCAGACTGAAGGGAGCCACTGACAGTCAGAAACTCTATGACCACCTCTTTCAGTTGATAACGGATGAATCTTTTTGAATCACCCTGTACTCATCCCCCTCTCCCTCCCTCCATCCATCCCTCCCCTGTCTGCCCATCTGTCTATCCACCCTGTCTATCCATGTTTACCTTCAGAGCAACCTGCTTTCCGAAAGTGACGTCTCCAGACACGGTGAGATGATCCAGCTCCAGCATGTCTGGAATACTCTCAAATCTCCGCAAGAAATCCTGCACCTGCAACACACACACATTACATAAATGACCTGTATGTATATATATATATATATATATATATATATATATATATTAGTTAACGCTGTAATGCTGTAAAGTTGTTGGCTGATATATAAACTGTGCAGTAACAGATGAGCTACTGTCTGACTTTTACACCACCGCCACGTCAGTGTTACTGCAGTGCTGAGAATGATCCACCACCCAAATAGTACCTGCTCAACTGGACAGTGTTTTAGTAGGGACAGTGCCTACAGTGACCTCTGTAGTAAAAAGACCACTGAACTGTCAGATGGCTGGCAAGCATCTAAAAGTCATGAACCAAACTTGGCTAATACTTTACATATTGCTGCTGATTCTGACTTGTTTAAACATTTTATATTTAGGCTAATCTCGTTGTGTACACAGGTAAAATGAGCCGGTTTATGGTCAGCAGAGTAAGAGCCAGGAGGGTGCCAACAACCCGCACACCTATTCAAAGTTCTGAGACACTGTGTTCTTTTGAAAATTCTGCGTAATATTTAATTTGTTTAAACTGTCAGAGAAAACATGCTCATCTATTAAAAAACCAAGCTAGGTGTCCCTAAACTTCTGACCTGCAGCACATGCAGAAACCAGTGCTGAATACATGCTCTTTTCTAGACTCCATGAAAGCTTGTTAAAGTGTCCTAAAGTCTGACTGGTCAAGCATTCGGCTGGTTACCTTGGTGAATGAACTGCCCAGTTTGACGTGGGGCGTGGTGGGGAACTCTCTTTTCTCGCTCATGGTCAGAGACCCCGCCTCCAGGCTGTACAGGTTGGACATGACCAGTAGGAGGTCGGAGGTGGTCTTGACAGGCAGAAAGCGGCTGCGGGGGACATTGATGCCCAGCGCGTTGTCGAAGCACTTGATGGCCGCGCCCACGGCCGTCTCCAGCTGGATCACGTTCAGACCACCATCCAGTGTCTGGAGAGAGGAAATGCACGTCATACTGTTCCATATTAGACAGTTAATTATTTTAATTATTTTTATATATAATTATTTTACTTATAGTTAAAAATCCCAACACCTAGAAGGCAACACCATGGCAACCACCTAGCAACACCCTAGCAACCATCTCCAATATCACAGCAACTGTCTAGTAACACCCTACCAACCACCTGGGGCACCATAACAACCACCAAGCATCTTAGCAACCATCTATCAATACCCTAGCAAACATTTGGGATTCAATAGGAACTACCTAGAAACACCCTAGCACTCACCTGGAATGCCATAGCAGGACGGAAGCAGCTGCGGGGGACGTTGATGTCCAGCGCATTGTCAAAGCTCTTGATGGCAGTGCCCACAGCCACAGTCACCTGAGATACCTTAGCAACCAACGAGCAATACCCTAGCAACCATGAGGGATTCCATAGGAACTACCTAGCAGCACCCTAGCACCCACCTGGAATACCATAGCAGGAAGGAACAACTGTCTAGCAACACCTTAGCAACTACCTACAACCACCTAGCAAGATCTCAGCAAGCATCGTGGATACCACAGTAACCGGTTCGCAAACCCTAGTAACCATCTAACATACCATAATAGTGTGTTCAGACCACCATCTAGTGTCTGGAGAGAGGAAATGCATGTCACACTGTTCCACATTAGACAGTTAATTATTTTACAGACTAGTTAAAAAAAGTTATAGTTAGAAATCTCAGCACCTACAAGGCAACACTTCAGCAACCACCTAGAACACCATAGAAACCACCTAGCAACACCCTAGCAACCATCTCCAATATCACAGCAACTGTCTAGTAACACCCTACCAACCACCTGGGGCACCATAACAACCACCAAGCAACACCCTTGCAACCAACCTGGGATGCCTTAGCAATCATCTAGCAATATCCTACCAAACATTTGGGATTCCATAGGAACCACCTAGCAACAGCTTAGCAACTACTTGGGATACCACAGCAACCATGCAACCACTCAGCAAGATCTCAGCCAGCATCGGGGATACCACAGTAACCTGTTCACAAACCCTAGTAACCACCTAACATACCATAATAACCACCTAGCAACACCCTACCACTCCCCTAGTGTACAATGTAATATAATATAATATAATATAATGTAATATAATAATGTTTGCACAGCTGTGTGTTGTGTATTGTTCTCCACCTTCGGATTGACGATGATCTCCATGTCCATGGCGTTTTGCTCATGCAGTCTCTTTATGGCAGGCAGGCTGATCCACAGGTTGTTGGTGTTGAAGATTTTGAACTTTGTGACGGATTTGAACTCGTCGACGTGCGCTTTCGGCACCTGTGCGATCTCCAGCAGCCTCAGTTTATTTTCATACTGGATCAGAGTCCCACCCTGAAACACACACAGTCCTCCCATTAAAGAATCACTGCAGCCAAAGTGACCATGACTACAAATTACACAGAATAAATAAGCAGCGATGCACCTAAATAAAACCTAAAGGAATGAAATCTGTTTGTGCTGGGTTAAAATTTATTTATTTAGCTTTTTAATGTTTACGTTTCACAGTGAAACGTAACTGAAGTGAACCGAGAGAAAAACAAGGCCATTATTGAAAAGGTAAGACCTTTTAAAAGTTACAGAGGGTCGAGAATCAATGTGACCGCATCTTTTTAACCATCTCTATTTGTTATTGCCACCGAAATAAACTGTAAAGAGTTACAGTCTAACACTTTGATACAGGTGTACTAAGTATTTAAAAAGAAAAACTTAAAAAAGAGTAATTCTCAACACTATTGCCTCTTTGGCCTAAAACCCGAAGTGTAATTCTTGGTCACTAAAACTAATTAGTTTGGCAATTTATCGCAAACAGTCAACCTCAATGCATAAAATCAAATGTTTTTTCTATGTTCTGAATTGTACACTGGAGGTAGGACAGAACACATCAGCTTGGTTTTTGCCAAGTAAACACTTCTTCAGGTGCCTCCATACTTTTCCGTAGAATACAATGACGTTTCAGAGAAGGTAAAAGGCGTCTTTATGAAATCTTCACTGATGCGGAAACGCGCAGTCAGTAAAAATGACTGAAATGGTGGATTTGGACAAGACTAAAATGGTACACTGGTAAACATGACCTACATTACCTCCTTGTGAAAACTAATACTGGCCAAATAGGTCAGTCATTTTGAGTTGGATTCAAATCACTGGTCATCAGATCCTCTACAGTGTTTCCATGATTCAGATGATGTTTTTCTAACAGAAACAACCTCAACCTCAGCCTGTCCTTGTTTTTAATCAATCTTTAACAGCCTGTGATCTATTAGTTCATCTACAGTCACGTTTGTAATGTCTGCAGTCTGTAGTCTGATGCAAGTATTAGCCAAGTAGTAGTGTTAGGTGTTTTCAGGAATTCACTGAAAGGCAGCATTTATATTAGACTACACTGGTAATGTTTATAAATCTATATCAGATTATCTGATCCTGAGAAAAACAGGTGCTCTCTATTAAAGCTGGACTATGACAGGCTGCTTTTACCTGGGAGACAATACAACTTAATGAACATTAACAGCGTACAGTGAGCACCAAAAAGCCTGTGTGTATGTGCTTGTAGACCACTGAGCTAGACCCCTCCTCCTCCTCTTCCTGCTGCTTCTCCTTCTCCTCCTCTTTCTCCTGTTCCTCCACTTTCCCGGTCCCCCTCCTTCTTCTCCAACTCCAGTTCCTATCGCCCCATTTCTTCCCCTCCCTATCCTCTTGGTCCCCCCAGTCCTTGTACTCCTCCTCCCTTTTCTCCTGCTCTTCCTCCTCCCACCTGCGCCCCTCCTCCGTCCCCTCCTCTTCCTCCTGCTCCATCTCCTCCTCTTCCTCCTGCTCCTCCTCCTTCTCCACCTTCCCGGTCCCCATCCTCCTTCTCCTCTCTCCTCATCCTTCTCCTTCTTCCCCAACTTCCTCTACCCCCTCTTCTCTTGGTCCCACTGCCCCTCCTCCTCCTCTTCCCCTTTCTCCTGCTCTTCATCCTCCCCGTTCCCAGTCCCCGTCCTCCTTTTTCTCTCTCCACATCCTTCCTTCTCTCCCCTGCTCCTTCCCCAACTCCACTTGCCACCGTCCCCCACCACTTCTTCCCCACCCTCTCCTCTTGGTCCCCCTGCTCCTCCTCTTCCTTGTCCTCCTCCCCCTCTTTCACATCCTTCCTCTACCTTCTCCCCTTTCTCCTGCTCTTCCTCCTCCCATCCCACCCCTCCTTCTCCTCCTCTTCCTCCCTCTTCCTGGTCCCCGTCCTCCTTCTCCTCTCTCCTCGCCCCTCCCGCCCTTGTTCCCCAACTCCACTTCCTCCCCAACCCACGTCTTCTCCTCCCTCTCCTCTTGGTCCCCCTGCTCCTCCCCCTCCTTGACATTCCTTCCCCTTTCGACTCCTCCTCCTCCCTGTCTTCCTACTCCGCTCCTCCTTCCCTCCTTCTCTCTCACCATTACTTCTCCTTCTTTTCCTCCTGGTCCCCCTGCTCTTCCTCCTATTCCTTCTCTCCACTCTTCCTCCTCTCCTCCTCCTGCTGCTCCTCCTCCTCACCTTGACGTCAGCCCGTGTTTTGTCTGTGACCTCCATGACGAATTCGCAGCGTTTGTCAGCCGGTTGGCTCATCAGGTGGTTGAGGATGTGCAGGTCCACCGTAGCGCCCAGGTTATCGATGTTGGAGACGAAGATGTACTCTTTCCCCTCAGAGAGGAGCTTGTCCAGCAGCCCTGAGTTACAGAAGCTGGCGTAGATGTCTCCATGACCAGGAGGATACCATGCCTCACAGTTGTTACCTGTCAGACCCATATTGGTCGCCACCGGCAACAGAGACTCTTTATTTATCCTGGGGTATCTGCACAGAGAGAGAAAGAGAGAGAACATCATAGTTACATAACAAGAAAGAACAGAACAGATACAGAGAGAGGAAAAACAAGAAAAAAGGAAGAGCAAGAAAGGGAGAAAGACAAAAAGAAATAAAATCAGACAGAAAGAAACAAGTGTGGAGGGAAAAGAAGAAGGAAAGAAGGAGAAGTTACAGTGGTTAAAAAAAGAAAGAAACCAAAGAGAAAGAGGATCCACAGATTTTGACAAAGAGACAGTAAACAGATTAAAAAGCAGCCTGGAGACTAAGTGGGTCAGAAAGACTTCAGAGTAACAGAGCTGTAAAGCTAACATTGTACTGAGTTCCTCTGACTCACTGAGGGGGAGAGTTACATGGAGAGAAAGAAGGAGGGAGGAGAAGGATGGATGACTGCTTTACAGGATTAAAGAGATCCACAATGACAGCAGAGCAGAAAACAAAAAAGGGAGAACAGCAGAGAGGATGAAGGTGGGATAAAAGGATGGGGGGGTGCAGGTCCTGTGTATGCGTAAACCCCCATGATCAGCATATATACGTAATGCATAGAGGACACTTCATTATAACATCTACACACTTTCATGGGCAAAAATCAGAAACTACACCATGTTTATTTAATTTCTAGTCAAAACATCCATTAAGTACAAATTACTCATTCATTCACTCATAAATCAGAAAACGTCAAAGTAGCACTCCATGCTAAGAGTGGCAAAAAACAAAAAAATCATCTGCATCCACAAAGCATGTTCAGAATAAATCCCAGAACAAAGAAATTCCCGGGCACATCCTCTTAACCCTTTAATATACTCACCAAGAAAAAAGCAATGGATTTTATTTGTATTTTTTTATTTGTTTGGGGCAATAACAAAAACAATCAGTGTTTTTTTAATTTTTTGACCCTACAGTTTTTCAAATATTCACATCTACCAAACTACCAAGATGGCACTTGTATAGTGAACATGTATAGTGACTCAAAATGTGCTCTACCAAATGGTTGAGCAGAACATTAAAGAGTTAAGAGAGGTATAAAAACCCTTGATTGAAACATGGCGATAAGTATAAAAATGTGCCGACGTGTTGCGGCCTTCTCAGGCCGTCATCAGGCAAAAAATGGCATACCGATACAAACCACCTGAGAACACCCATATAAATACACACAAGTTTCTGCCACCTGTTGGTCAGAAAGACAAAAAAAAAATGAGAAAGAGAAATCAACATCCTCATTCAGGCCACAATACTCTGCAGATTTAAGAGTACAAATCCAAAATGTTTCCCTCTGAAGTAACTGCTTTAATCTATTATCTCCTCTAATGAGAAAACACATGTAACAGAAATTTACACAGATGTCTCAACAAATAAATATAACATTTTTCAGTATTTAGAGTATCCACACTTTAACTTCTGCCCATCTACAAAGACAGTCTGCTTGCATGAGGAAAGAGAAAGTCAAAGAAAAATAAGCGAAAAAAGGAGTTTCTGAAACTGGAGTCCAAAAATGATTAAAAGCTACAGAGAAAATGTGTCTCCTAATAACCACCTGGAAGACCCGACAGACACCAAAACTGCCCCCATCAGATAAACAGCACTTAAAGCTTTCATCTCTGAGAGAGAGGAGAAAATCAAGCTCCACTCTGGATTCAGATCTGAAAACATCCACAGGAGTTTCTGTCCATCCTTCCACTGTGAGACACTCAGCACTATGAGTCTGAAAGGATGTGTAGCTGTTAAGAAGCTCTTACTGAGAAAAGGAGACACATCAAACAAAGAAGCTGCTGGTGTTTCTCAGAACAATGGACTGACCACCCCAGAGTCCAGATCTCAACATCACTGCATGTGTTTGGGATGATAAGCTTGGGATGACATAATATATGTCTGACCCCTCGTCTGGAAATTGTATGTATTGTATGTGTGTGTGTATGTGTGTGTGTGTGTGTGTACCTGCTCTGGTTGAAGGTGTGTATTTTTACTCTGTGGTGAGTGTATTTCTGCAGAATCTTCTTGGTGTCTTCATCTGTGTTGAAGCTGTTCATCAGGACCAGAGGGACGTCAGTGTTATACGTCTTATTCAGGTGCTGCAGGACACAAACACAGAAAAAATCCACTAATTTAAAAAACTGGTAAAGAAGCTGTGCGTGATATGGATAAAATGCTAGTCCGGTGATCATTTTGCAAAATTTTGTGATATACATTAAAATGTACTGGTGGATCATTCATGTGACATGGTTAAAGAATGGCCTGTGTTATTTCAAGTATATATTCCTAAAGGCTGAATCGACTGCAAAAAGAAGGGATGTAATTCCAAACAGGTCAGTCTTAGCCTAAAACAGGCTTTACTCTAGATCAGGGGTGTCAACTAGCTAACTAGCAGGTTCAGCTGCTGTGCTAGGGCAGGGAAAATCATCAAATTGTGCTGGACTCTGGCTCCCAGTTCCCAACACCACTGTGAAAATTCACCGTTTTGAAAAAAAATGTTGACAGAATAAGAGTTAGTTTCAAAATTCACACAAATGCTTATCCACTTGACTTTTAGTGAGTTAACATGAAATCTTAAGAGGAAGGAATTACATTAGGCTAAGATGTGGACAAAACCTGTTTCTAGACCCTTTAACTGATGTGTATTTTAGATCATTTAAGCCAAATGGACATTCAAATCTGTCCACTTACTGAATGCACACATCAGAAATAAACACAATTTTTAACTTCACCAGGATAATTATTTTCTACAACGAGCAGAAACATCACAGAGATCCCACCAGACTTTTTTGGGTCACAAGAACACCTTGATTCAGTAAAACACCCAGTGAAACACTCATCTGGAACTGTGATTGGTCTGAATGTTCACAGGTTTGGGTAAAATGTTTTAATATTTATTTTCTATAAATTGAAGTCCAGGTCTGTTATTTTGGCCTTGAAGACCAGCATATAAACTTAGTTGTGGTTGTGATGTCACAACACATAGATGTTTGATTGCTTCTGATTGGTCTGATTCATATCATATTCTTTATATATTATATTATATATATATATATAAATATGTGACTTCAGTTTCTTGAAAAAAGAGCAACTGGAATCACCAAAAAAAAAAGAAACAAGTAAAAAAAAGAAAAAGAGAAAAAGAGAAGTTGACAGAAATTGTTACACAATAGTGAGTTCAACAGTCACTGACCCATCGGGAACATTTTTACTGGAGTCTCAAAACGCAAATAATGACTGACTCATCAATGCACACAAGGTGCTGATAAAACAGAGGAGTTTTCAGAGGGGAAAAAGGGAGCCTAAAGCTTAAAAAAAAAAAGAAATAAACATCCTTCGCCTGTAGAGTTCACAGAACCATGTGATTTGCAATTCTGCACTTTACTACTGCAACACAACATTTTAACATTTTTATAAAACATTCAATCTAAAAATTAAAACAAAAACACTCCAAATCCACCTAAAGCATTATATTTCAATTAATATTAATATTCAATATTTCATATTGGTTAATGATCCAGTGTGAATGTGAGAGAACATCCAAGACTTTCACAACAGTCACACAAACACCCTGGGACACCAACACAATGCTCAGATTCGCTGGTGATTGTTGGAGAACGCTGGATTTGTGTGTTCTGGACTTAAACCTTTCACAGTAAATAATGGGCAATATTTCATTTCAGGTTTCATACAAATTCAAAACAAAATAATTTAAATTCTACAATTCTACATTGTAAAGTGTAGAAAATACTAATCCAAACTCAACATTCTGAATTCTACTACTGCGAAGTCTACTTTTCTACATTTTAATACATTCTAAAATGGAGACAACATTCCTAAACTTCATCACCCTAAACTCCACAAAAAAATCTAAAATTTAGAAACTATTCTAAATTCAGAAAATATCCCATATTTTACTTAGTCTAAAAAACATTAAATTCCTTACCTAAATAAGTAGAAAATGTTTTCAATTTCATTCTCAAATATAGAAATATACAAAATTCTACCTTTCTAAATTCTACATTCTACAATGTAGAAACTAAATTCTACACACTAAAATGTACTAAATGTTCAAAATTCTACGTTCTAAATGCATAAAAATCATTCGATACACTGCATCCTAAGGCTACGTTCACATTACCAGGTTGAAGTGGCACAAATCCAAATCTTTGCCCTAATGTGACTCAGATCTGACGTTTTCAGGGCTCTGTGGACACGCAAATCTGATCTTTTCAAATCTGACCTGAGCCACTTTCATATGTGGTCCCAGATCAGATTCACATCCAATTTGTGGCTATGTGACCTTAATGTGACGCTCAGATCAGAAATCATGTGTTTCTTTCCCACTGCGAGTGCGCCATCATTCAGCGTTACCATGGCAGCTACGCCGAACAGACGATAAAGTCTGTAAACGGTGGAAAAGCAACACATCTCACCTTTTTCGCCTTCATCTCGCTCTAATAATGAAGCTGAGAGCTGATCAGAGTTAATTATGTTTAGTCTGTTAAGTCAGTTTGCTGTTCATGACACACGTGATTCATTCACGTGACGTTACTGAGTAGGATGTGCTCATGCGGCTCATTTCAGGACGCCGGTTCGTTCACATTAATGACAGATTTGAGTCACTTACCTAAATGTTGTGTCAGAGAGATCGGATTTGAGCAAAAAAATCTGATTTGAGCAATGAGGCTTGTAATGTGAACGCAGCCAAAATGTAGGAACAATTCTACACTCTAAATTCTACATTAAAAAACTCAGAAAACGTCAGTCTGAAGTCTGCTCTTCTAGAACGAGCTGAAGAAGTGAGCTGATTTATTACAACAGCTTACGGGTGTGCTGTCCTGTCACTGTCAGTAAATGCCATAAAACCGCACTGCTGTTACACACTGTACTCAGCTCATGAAGAGCCTCACAACTAGTTTAAGAGAGGAACCAGGTGTGCATAGCAGTGCGCTGTCTCTCCAGGACAAGGACTGCACACTCCTCACTACAGCTTAGCTAGACCAGGGGTCGGCGACACGTGGCTCTTTCTCTGCTCTGTTGCGGCTCCACAGCAGAATTAGATTTGTAGGTAAAAATAAAATAATCCTCCTTTGCTGTAAAATAAAGCTCTGATCGTTTTAACACAGTTTTAACAATAAATGGTTTTAAACGCTGGAGTTAAAGTAGCCTATAACTGCTAATTCACCAACCTGTAACCCTGAAGGTTGGAGTGCAGACTGCTGGTCACCACAGTAATGCAGACAACAATCTGGCCTAGCTAGTAGCTAACGGAAACGGCAAAGAGAAAGATTTAAGACAAACATCGATAATTTGGAGACGAATGGACTTATTTGCATTTATAATCACTCCAGCTGGTTTCCTGAAACGTTTAATCTGCAACGAAAAACTGTCGAACACTAAAAAGTTGCAAAGATGAAGTCGCTTCTCATTCACCAGCTTTTCGTTCGAATTTTCCTGTTCCACCTTAAATGCTGCAGTAGGAAAATTCGAACAATAAGCTGGTGAATGAGAAGCGACTTCAGCTTTGTAAAAAGTCAAACGTTGAGAGACATTTTTCAAGAAAATATTCTACTTTTGCAGAGAAGTTTCCTGCTGGAGATGTGAGAAAAGCAGCTATAGCACATTTGCACATACTAAGACATTTTTACCGCCAAAATGGTAAAATGTCACTTTAATTAAATGGACATAAAATGTTGAGGCTCCCAAGGTGGTTTGATTTTTGTTGAAATGGCAAAATGGCTCTTTTTTTGGTTGCCGACCCCTGAGCTAGAACCTATGACCAGTCTCATACAAAAACAATGAAAAAAACAGGGAAAATGTATTAAACTTAATTTTAGAATGTTACATGCACTAAATGCACTTACATAAAATTAGCTATTTCTAGCTCATTTTATTTGGGGAAACATTGTCTAACCATTTTTTTCCTCAGCCTTTCTTTGCTGATCGGACACAGATTAGTGCATTCACTCAATCACCACTGTACCTCAATCTGTTGCACGGTCAGATCCAGAAAGGTGTTCTCATTCCGAACGCTGATCAGACTCTTCGGGCCTTTGCAGCCCATGCTGGTGCCGAGACCACCATTCAGCTTCACCACCGCCAACTTATTTAGACTGGCCGCTACGGCCTCCGGCAAACCTTTCGCATGGATCCGCTCGTACGGCTGGATCTGAGAGAGAAAGGGAAGATTGGGAGAGACTGCTGTTACTACAAGCATCAATTCAATTCAATTCATATTACTAACCAGTGTTTTTCACAACAAGATGTGGTCACAAAGCAGCTTTTCAGAAATCTGGGTGCAGCTTGGCCAGTATTAGCTACTATTACTATTACTACTTCCAGTAGTGTCAGCATTACACAGTCAGTACTGTCAGTCACAATTACTCTTAGCCTGTATTACACTTAGCCATTATTACTGTACTGCTGTCAGCCAGAAGCAATGTCAGAATTACACTTAGACAGTAGTGTTTATTACTATTACTCTTAGCCAGTCACAAGTCAGAACTACACTAAGCCAGTATTACTGTCAACTGTGTAGTAGTAGCTAGTAGAATTACACTTAGCTAGTATTACACTTAGCCACTATTATAGTTAACCAGTTGTAATGTAAGTCAGAACTGACCTTAGCCAGTATTACTCTCAACCACAATTGGTATCATTTGTATCTTTGTGTAATTTCTATCTTTATTGTGTAGTAGTAGCTAGAAGCTAGTGGTATTTCTAGTCAGAATTATTCTTAGCTAGCATTACACTTAGCTAGCATTACACTTAGCCACAAGTACGGTTAGCCAGTTGCAATAAAAGTCAGAATCACACTTAGCCAGTATTACTGTCAGCCACTATTTGTATCATTTATATCTCTGTGTAATTTCTGTTTTTACTGTGTAGTAGTAGCTAGAGGCTGCTGGTATTGCTAGTCAGAATTACACTTAGCTAGTATTACACTTAGCCGCTATTACAGTTAGCCAGTTGCAAAGTAAGGCAGAATCTTAGCCAGTATTACACTTATATATAAGTGCAGATAGATAGATAGATAGATAGATAGATAGATAGATAGACAGACAGACAGACAGATAGATACTTTATTGATCCTGAAGGAAACTTAGCCACATTTGTGGTTAGCCGGTTGCAATGCAGGTCAGAATTTTTACTTATCCACTATTATGAAGTAAACAGACACGTTAGCATTTCTGGATGAAATATACTGTGAATAATGACGTCAGCCATACCACACTATATTACTGTTAGGCACCATTACTGTTTTCCAGCATTGGCCTATGTTACTCTTAGTCAGTAGTACTGTTATTACATTTCCACTATTTCACTGCCTACTTTGGAAAGATCGTATAAAAGCAGGCATTAATAAAGCTGAACTGAAATGAGAGTGAGAAGAGTTTTACAGTCCTACTTCACTAAAAATGCTGATGTGGCTAAAAATGACAGTGACAGAACCTGAAGCAAACAGACAGGTTAGCATTTTTGGATGAAATGTACTGCAAATAATGACACTGACTTTGTAACAGAGTGGTTTTACTCAGGAATTCAGGCCAGATTTTTTAGTATCTGGACAGTGACTAAACTGACACTGAAGTGCTGAATATCAGCTTTAATTTGAGGGCGTTTTAGTCTGTACAAGCAAACAATCCAGGAAGCCGTATTGCAGCTCTTCTATGTAGTCTCAGTTTCCTTTGATAGTTTTGCTCAGCTACTTTAAATGCTAGCTGGCTGAACAGACCCTGACCAATTCAATCTGTAGTTCGTATCTCAGAAACACGAGTTGGAATGTAAGATTTTGCTGAAACCCTTGTTTGTCAGGCTCAACTCTACTCCATAAAGAGTGTCCCAGTTTGTAGAGCTCATTTAAAATGCTTATTGCTGTCCAGACTCTGAGGCAGGGACTCAGAACTCTTGGCCTTATGGTACGCTCAGGCACCCTGACAGCCAATGAGAAAAAAAGAGCGAGAGAGGGAAGTGGGGGAGGAGAGGGGTGAATGAATGGGGAGAGCGAGAGAGTGAGGCGGTGTTGGCATTTGGCCCACGGTAGTTGGCAATCCAAGGACTGTCCAAAGAGCAGCTTCTGTTAAAGGAACACTACACTAGAGCTCTGCTGCTCGCCCCAAGCCCGAAGTGGCACAACAAAATATCAGGTTTCGGGCCAGATTTAGGCCGATCGTTCATGTAGACCGGGGTGTCCAAACTTTTTTCAAAGAGGGCCAGATTGTACTGTGCTAAAGTACCTCAGGGCCAACATATTATTGACAAATGAATCAAAATATTAAGATTTCAAAATATAAGCGCACAGAATCTGAGCTTTCTGTGAGCTGCTGTGTTTCCTAACACTGTATAAAAGATGCACGAGGCTTCTTTTATTGCTGGATTGTTCATTCAGAGCAGTTTGGATCGATAAGCGCTTATAATAAATAATGAAACGGTCTAAAAGCAACAATACAACATGTCTAATGTATTAATCATATTCCTATTCAAGTGCTTACTTGTTGAAAAATATAATGTGTGAGACAAACTAAACAAAAATTTATAATTTTTGGTTTTGTTAAGTGATGTTCTTTACATATCAAATAAATGCAATGTAGTCACGTTTTTGCTCAACCTTAAAGCGTTAATATTTACTGAACTACTGAATTTGCTCTGATAAGAAGTTATCCATCTCGCCAAAATTGGCATTTTTCAGTATTTAGTTTGAGTTTAGTTTGTAAACGAAGTCATTCAAAATGGTTTGATGTGAAATTGGTAAATGTAGAGAAATTTACAGACTCCTTTTCTTTACACTGGTGGTGACAGGAACCAGGAGCCATGATGTCTAAAACACAAATACAACCATTTTATTTACTATTCAGAATAACCAATGAACCTACACTGAGTGTTTATATGTAAATGTTGATGATGGTAAAATAGTGGCTAATATGAAAAAAAAAGCTTTGTTTGGGGACTATTTTGTTTTACATGGACCCCTCCGCCGTGAATTGCTTTTAAAAAACACATTTTAGGCCAAAACTTTCTCTTAAAACTACTGTAAAACAACGTCTCATACATCAGGCAGTGTATTCATATGGATCTCTTACAGGCATTAAACTCTTCAGACGTCTGGTTCCTATCACCACCACTGTGAACAATTCTGACTCTGTAGGTTTCTCTAGAACTTAGCTGACTTTGTTTACATGTTAACCATATAATTACTAAAACCAGTGGAATTACTTTAGCTAGCCCTAAGTAGTGAGGGGAAAGTTAGCACAGCTGTACTTACAGTTGATCAGAGGAGGGTGGATGCTGTTCTCTGCCAGGGGAAATCAGCAATTCCAAAAACAATGTACTGATAATAAATACTGTAATAGTCTATAATAAACTATTAATATCGGTTTATCCCAGCATGAAATTTTCTGCCCATCACAACTTAAGTGCTCAGTGATAAAGCAAAGCTCTGTAAAAGCTCTGCGATAATCCATTAGGTTTTAATGGATTATCGTACAGGTTCGGGTCGGGGTGGCCTTCAAGCTGAGCCAAAAACGAACCAGTCGGGCCTGGTCAGGTCGGATCCCAAACTCAAGGCAATGGGTGGCTATTCACTGTACGGTGTATTATTTTTATATACATACATACATACGTACTGAAATTTCAGCCACACAACATTTTCAGGTGAAAACCAAAAGTACAATTTTTGACCATTTTCAGCTGAATTTATTTCTGGCTGAATATTTTTAGTGGCCGATATTTCCGTACATCCCTAATAAAAATACACTGTACGCTGAATACCGACACATGACTTTGAAAGCTCGTGAATTTCGTGGCACATACTGTACTAATTTTAGTAAGTATACTTTATGTAAAGTGTTTCTATTTATTGTCATTTTATTCTGATTTTCTGTTCACTGAATTCCTGAATGGCAAATTCAGCCAGGGACTTTCATTTAGTTATCAGCAGTTCTTATGACTAATTCATAATTCTGAGTTGTACAAATGTAAACACATCAAACTGAATCATGGTGAAAGTCAAAGATTTACAGTCTTAGCACACAAACATGCATGCACTTTTACAAAGGTCCTTTGGGTTTAGTAACACTGTAAACAGGAGAAGGGTGAATGTTGGCCTTCACCCTACTCGTGTTTGGCCAAGTTAAATACGGCAGGGTCGATGTCCATGCAAACTGACCCAAAGATCCCGAAATCCACCGTTTACTTATATAACAGACACATTACATAATGCTGTTTTACAGTGAAGTTGCTCAGCTTAGTCCAGCAAGTGCTAACGGTCAACTGTAAAGAGTCTGTCCCATCTGATTTACACATTAAATGATCAAATTTAGTGGTGAGGAAAAGAAACAATAGCATGTTTTTAGAACTTTAAATACCCACATGGTAAAAACGATTTAATGTTTTAACTTAAAAAAGTAAGTAAGTAAGATGCTTTTATTGTTCTGTTAATGACTATGAGAGGGTCAATTAACTCAAACCTTATAGACACCCAGGCCACTTCTGTTTATTAAGTTAAAACACTGAACATTACATAATTCTTAATTGACTAGTATAAGATCATATAGCTACACCTAAATATCAGGGTAGACACAGTTAACATGACAAACTATTAAAATTACAAATTTTATAAATAAATAAATCTTTCTGGAGGGTCAAACTGTGCCAAAAAATTTAATTTGATTAATTTGATTAATCGTGATTAACTGCACAAAATAATGTGACTGATCATGCTTAACTACTTTAATTGCTTGACAGCCCTAATAAATATGTAATATTCATCAAATGTACAGCAAATGACAGTAAAAACTCTGGAGTTCTAAACATTAAACAACTACAGTTACTGCAGCACTGACTAGTCACAAGATGCCACTAGTCAAGTGGTCTTTAGTGAACTACAACAGCTGAGACCACAAACCAACCCTGTGCACCACTTCATCACAATATGAACGGAAAAACTCGTATCACATCAGGTTTCCTACTCGAGACAGAATGTAAAGTTGATGTACATGTATTTCATTATGTAACTACCTAATAAATGTGTGTGTGTGTGTGTATCACACTAATCACACTAATTTTAGATGAATCTTAAATGTTAATTAAATCCTTTTTAGTGTCAAACTTGAGTACTTGAATACTAATCAAATGTGCTTCAAATCGGGCCTCAGTGAACTATAACAGCAG